AGAGCGGGAAGCAGAACAGGCAGATCGATGAAGTACACTGCTGAGGGAAGCAGTGGGCGGGTCAGGAGAGGTCTGGCTCGCCATGTGGTCTCCTCTGGGACAGGAGGCAGGCAGGAATCGAACTCATGCGGAAGTGGCTTCAGATTCTCAGTGCTGTGCTTTAACCCGCTGCGCCACCAGGGAGGGCCGGCCCGAAGAGATTTTTTAATGCATGGTTTCAGCCTGCCAGATTTGGCTGGAAAATCGTAACCAATTCCATTACTATGGTAAATACTTACAAGTTTATTTTCCTAGCAAATTAAAGAAGTTCTTATGGTAAGGTTTCATTTTTTCTAAGCCTTTTTTACAAAAACTGAAGTGGAGAAATTCTTGGTTTTTATAATAGTTATGTGAAAATTATTAGAACTTGGTTTAGTTTTACTTTTAAGTTATTAAAAGTGACCTACACAGTCTTATTGAGAGAACATCACTGTTAATTGTACATTGAACCTGGTATATTTTAAACTGAGTATGCATGTTACTTTATCATTTATTGGGGTTGTTGTGGAGTGTCATAAACTTCATATATACATTTATGTATGTGGATGTGGATGTATATATTTTCATGTGCGTGGATAGAGGTAAAACTCTTGGTAACCAGTCCGGGTTTTTCTTTGCAAGACCATGCAATTTGAAGATGATGATCAAGCCCCACCAGCTCCTCCCAATCCCTTCAGTCATCTCACAGAAGGAGAACTCGAAGAGTATAAGAGGATGATCGAACGTAAACAGCAAGGCCTGGAAGGTTAGTTAATTTTTAGATAATTTGGATAATTTTTGACAAGCCTAGGGTAATCACACTGTAAATAGCATAGCACCTTGAGTTGGGCAATGGAAGGCAGTTAGTGTTGTTTTTTAAATATCCCTTTAAGTCTATTGTTCTATATCCTCTCGCCCAATGCTTCACTAATTATAGTTGGAGCTCAAAGGCAAAAAGCTACCTGGGGAGCAGAACAGGCAGAGTGAGGAAGTACACTGCTGAGGGGAGCAGCGGGCGGGTCAGGAGAGGTCTGCCACGCCATGTGGTCTCCTCCGGGGCAGGCAGAATTCGAACTCATGCGAAAGTGGCTTTAGCTTCTCAGTGCAGTGCTTTAACCCGCTGCGCCACCAGGGAGGGCCTTGAGTTGATTTTTGTGCATGGTGTGACACAGTCTAGCTTCATTCTTCCACATGTGGCAGTCCAGTTTTCCCAGCACCACTTATTGTAAAGGCTTTCCTTGTTGTGCTGTATATTCTTTGCTCCTTTATCATCAGTTAATGGACTACATATATGTGGTTTCATTTCTGGGTTTTCAGTTCGATTCTATTGGCCTGTTCAGTACTATCCTGTTCTTATTATTACGGTTTTGTAGTATAGTTTGAAGTTGGAGGGTATTATGCCACCATTTTTCCTCATTTTAATTAGAACAACTTTGGCTGTTCAGGGTTTATACTTTTTATTTGTCTTCACTCCAGCTTATGTTCAATACCACCTTTTGGTATATGATACTGCTGGTTTCTGAGCCCTACCAGACTTCTACAGGGAAAATGTGGGTACTTCTCATTTATATCCTTCTTTGCAGGGCTAAGACATAACTTTCTAAGCTTTGCTACCCCCTCTCTTCCACTTTCTTTCAGTCTTCCAAAAATGTGTATTATCACTTCTCATTCTCTGTTGTCACTTCTCCCATTCTTTTGTCCTTAATTTTTAATACCAATTTTGTTGTTGTTCCTTTACTATGGATATTATTAGAGCTGTAGGAGAGATTTTTTTTTAATCGCCATTTTTAAAATTTTTTTTTAGATTTATTTATTCATGTAGAACTGGGGTACATGTCAGAGGTACAGGGGCAATGAGAGACTTCACCAGAGACAGAGTGGGGAGCAGAACAGGCAGATCGATGAAGCACACTGCTGAGGGGAGCAGTGGGCTGGTCAGGAGAGGTCTGCCGCACCATGTGGGTCACCTCCCAGGGCCAGAGATCTCTACTGAAGCGGCTGCTGCCAGCTTGCAGTGCTGCACCCTAACCTGTTGCACCACCAGGGAAGGCCCGAAGAGATTTTTTTTTTTTTTAAAGATTTATTTATTTATTTGTGCATACAGAACTGGGGTACAGGCCAGAGGCTCAGGGGCGGCGAGAGGCTTCACCAGAGACAGAGTGGGGAGCAGAACAGGCAGATCGATGAAGTACACTGCTGAGGGAAGCAGTGGGCGGGTCAGGAGAGGTCTGGCTCGCCATGTGGTCTCCTCTGGGACAGGAGGCAGGCAGGAATCGAACTCATGCGGAAGTGGCTTCAGATTCTCAGTGCTGTGCTTTAACCCGCTGCGCCACCAGGGAGGGCCGGCCCGAAGAGATTTTTTAATGCATGGTTTCAGCCTGCCAGATTTGGCTGGAAAATCGTAACCAATTCCATTACTATGGTAAATACTTACAAGTTTATTTTCCTAGCAAATTAAAGAAGTTCTTATGGTAAGGTTTCATTTTTTCTAAGCCTTTTTTACAAAAACTGAAGTGGAGAAATTCTTGGTTTTTATAATAGTTATGTGAAAATTATTAGAACTTGGTTTAGTTTTACTTTTAAGTTATTAAAAGTGACCTACACAGTCTTATTGAGAGAACATCACTGTTAATTGTACATTGAACCTGGTATATTTTAAACTGAGTATGCATGTTACTTTATCATTTATTGGGGTTGTTGTGGAGTGTCATAAACTTCATATATACATTTATGTATGTGGATGTGGATGTATATATTTTCATGTGCGTGGATAGAGGTAAAACTCTTGGTAACCAGTCCGGGTTTTTCTTTGCAAGACCATGCAATTTGAAGATGATGATCAAGCCCCACCAGCTCCTCCCAATCCCTTCAGTCATCTCACAGAAGGAGAACTCGAAGAGTATAAGAGGATGATCGAACGTAAACAGCAAGGCCTGGAAGGTTAGTTAATTTTTAGATAATTTGGATAATTTTTGACAAGCCTAGGGTAATCACACTGTAAATAGCATAGCACCTTGAGTTGGGCAATGGAAGGCAGTTAGTGTTGTTTTTTAAATATCCCTTTAAGTCTATTGTTCTATATCCTCTCGCCCAATGCTTCACTAATTATAGTTGGAGCTCAAAGGCAAAAAGCTACCACCGACCATGATGAGAAAACTTTTTTTTTTTTTTTCAGAAAGCAGTCTGATTACTAGCAAAAAATTGTCTGTAGTAAAGTAAAATCCCAGATGAGGATAGAGTTGCTAGCTGAATTAAATGTTGACATTGGAATAAAAACAGCGCATAGTATGTGGCTTTTTAAAAGCTTTTTACTTTGAAATAACTGTAGATTCCTAAGTATGTAGCTTCAACATTTAGTAAAATTTCTTGGATATTTCATGGTACCAAATATTCTAATTTCAAATTCAAAATATAAAACAAACTTCTAGAATTTTGAAGTGACTTTCAAGTTCTTAAACACACTAATAAAGTTTTTTTTATCTGATTCCAAAGTCCTTAGTTAGTATTATAGTTAAGAATCACTAATAAACATGCCCCAGCTAATTGAATACTAGCTCCATTTTTCTCAAGAGCAAGAAATTCTTCATAGCAGGGTTTCTAATCTTAGGTCTTTGGATAAGTTTCAGGCAATCCATAAGACATCTAAAAAATATATGCTTAATTTCAGACAGTCCATAAGACATCTGAAAAATAAATGCTTAATACACAGAGTGCACAGTGGGTATTCAGGGTCCTTAGAGTACAGGCAGGAAGTCTGTAAGCCCAACAGAGTGTAAGAGCATTGCTTTAGAATATTCACAACATAGAGTAGAAATTTTTACCCAAAGCAAAATAGAGTCAATAGTTAAATAAGTCTGGTCCTTGTTTAGATGTTACATAGGAAGAACTAACGCCATCTGGATAATACAGCAAATAGATTTTATCTGTGTCGTACATTTATCACAAAAGGGAGTCACGGCACCCTGACTGGTTAATATAATGACACTCAGTATTCCAAGTAACATTACTGAATTTGTGTGCTCTAACATAAGGCTGGGAACTCTCTTTTGTATTTTGTAAAATATCCGTCTTTAATCTCTCATTTTCTTAAAGCCTAAAGATGTCAGGTAACAAATACTGCATTCTAGAGCCACTACCTTTTATATATGCACACATATATATATAAAACTTGATAGTTTCTTCCACATTCCTTAAGGCATTCTTTTAGTTTGCTAATATTGCTCTGACTGAAATTACTGATTGGGTGTTGTCTCAAAGATCCAGTGAACATCCCGCCTCACTTATCATTGGTGAGGTCTTGTAATCTTCTCATCTGGCTGCTTAGCATATTTTGGCTTTCTGACACTCAGGCAGAAGCTGAACGCATGTGTGTTGTGTCCCTGGGCTGCCCTAGCTATGCTTCCGCAGTAAGACTACGGTCAATTACTATGAGCAGTCAGTGGTTTTAACACATTAATCTACTTTTAATGAATAATTACTGATTTGTGGAGTAACTGAGCATGCTCAGCTCATTGCTGAGGCCTCTGTCCTCTCAGTAGACAGGCATCTTATGTATGCACTAACTTCCCTGAAATCTCACGCTTCTTTGTTTTGCATGGCTTTTAACTAAACTCTTATCCAACAGATGCTGAGCAGGAAGTATTCTCAGATGACGCTTCATCTGTTTCACAAATTCAGTCTCAAACTCAGTCACCGCAAAATATCCCTGAAAAATTAGAAGGTATTCAATGTAATTTCCCATTGCGTCCACTGAGTTAGTCTTAAGACTTGTCATTTGTTTTCTTGTAAGGAAATTGAACACCTTGTTCTAAGTTTTCCATGGATCTTACTTAAATCTGATAATTTTATACCTTTTTACTAAATGGGTTGCTATGTTTGTTCAGTGTTTATATTGATTACTACTTTAATCTAGATTTTAGCAACCCAGAGTTCTTAAGAATTTGTGAAATTAAAATTGTGATGTCTTCCAATTAGAAGCATGAGAACTTTTTCAACTTTGACTGCCTAATGGCCCTAAAATTAAAGAGAAATAATGTTGTCTTCCTCATTTATACTGACTTGATTTCCAATAAACTGTCAGGCCATCAAACAGGATTTATCCAGCCTTCACCCTTTGATGTAATAACTTTGTTTCATTCCCTTTCTATCATTTAAGAAAATCAGCATCATGCTAATAGATTCATAGCTTATTAAAATTATGAATTAAATTTTAATTGGAATTAAAATAATGCATTAATACATTGCTAAAACATTTTGGTTTTGTAAAATAAAGCCGATGTTACTTCTATAAAATAACATCAAAATCAACCCTCCCCTTTTGTAGACAACCATGAGCTATTTTCCAAGAGCTTCCTCTCCATGGATGCGCCGGGCATGGTAGTGAATGGCAAGGATGACATGCATGACGTTGAACATGACCTTGCTAAGCGAGTGAGTAGGTTAACGACAAGCACGACCATAGAAAACATCGAGATTACCATTAAATCTCCAGAGAAAATTGAAGAAGTCCTGTCACCTGAAGGCTCACCTTCAAAATCACCATCCAAGAAAAAGAAGAAATTCCGCACTCCTTCTTTTCTGAAAAAGAACAAAAAAAAGGAGAAAGTTGAAGCCTAATTAAATCTTTTTATAATTATCACTCTTAAAATGTGACGTTGCACATTTAAATACCACATTTAATTTGATCATTAGTATGCAGTGGTAGGTCAGATTGGGGGTATGTAGCAAACTGGACTTTTAAGAACTGGAAAGAGGTTTTACTAAAAGAAAAACATTATGAAAAGACTTTCAACTTCATCTCTCATTTTATATGTCCAAATGGCTTTGAATTTTTAAACAATTGATAGTTTTAATTAGCTCTGCCCTCATGAAGTATACTTATACTTCACCACAGATATATGTCTGATTACTTCAGGCCTTCTCCGTAATATCTGTCAGAAAGAAATTACCAGTGAAAAGTGAGAGAATTTTTATTTCTCAATACCTGCTTCACTTGGTAATCAGATGATAATTTTTTACCATGATTATTGACTGTACCTTTTGGGTTCCCATTGTCTCAATGGGCATTAACAGAATGCTTTAGAAGCTTTTAAGAATATTTCATTAGTATACACTGGCACATAACTTTTTTAAAAATTTTAAGAAAAAATTCATTTGGAATTTTGTTTCATAGTATAAAATTTCCTCACCTGAAGTAACTTTGTTTGCCAAAAAAAAGAGGTCATTTTAGTAAGGTATAATTTTTGAAAACTTCTTTTTTATTAGTTTAGAAAGCCCCTTATTTTTCCACAAAGGGGATTTTGTACACATAACATGGGTTATTTAGTTTAACTCTGGCAAAAACAATTTTTGTATGTTGAGATGTTTATATACCATTCAGTATAAAAATGTCATAAGCATATTAGCCAATCACATAATAGTAGAACATATTTGAAGCTGCTTGGTACTAAGTATACTTAAATATATTTCAAAAATCCAGGGACTGGGTATCAAAAGGGGATTGGAGCATTTAAATATAGAACTAGATTCATATTTGAATCTTATAATGTATTTTTCTCTTAGTATTGCTATGAAGAAACTCTCAAAAGGTAATCAAATAAAAAAGAATGAGAAAGTAAAAAATGAAGGAAGCAAAAGAGGTGTTATGAAAAGAATTCTAGTTTGTTAATGACTTGATCACAATAGGATTTGAAGTGTAATTAGAAACATCCCAAATTTCTAAATTTCCACTTCTGTCAAAATCATTGTATTTCTTGATTGATATTTCATTTGTTAAAGGGGCAAATCTCATTAATATCTGTCTCTTTAAAAGGTGGCACTGGAAGAAATCAGTTGTTCTAATCCCCCCTGTCCCCCTCCCAAGTGAGAATACTACCACTTCTAGATCTTCACCAGTCTTTCCCTGTCTTTCAGTAACTTTCTTTCTAATGTAAATACAAATTGAAACCTAGGCTTAATATAGTTTACCCCCACCCCCCACCCCCATCCAAGTGATGTCACAAATCAGTGTAAAATTAATGATCCAAAATGGTCAGTGGGTAAAAATAATCCAAAGTGTTTCTAGAGGGTGAGATGGCATGTAAAAAATTACATTGATTACAGTGTGTTCTGGAGCTGGTTCTGTTTACCTGTATGTGTATGATGATGCAAAGTTGAAATAGAGCCTGGAAATTTCATTCTAGATCTCACTAACTACTGGAATCAGTGTTTTGATCTTTTAGTGGAAACTTTCAGTTGCTTAATTCTGTATTCGAGGATTTTTGTGTGTGTGTTCTACATCATTTATGTTGTATTACAACGTATGTGGAAACAGTAACCTGTGAACTATGCCTTTCCATAATTTTTTAAAAATATATATATATATCTTAAATGAATGCAATGTGCATAAATATTTTTTAAACGCAACAGTGAACTATTTGCACCTTTTGCTAATGCCTCTCTTTACTTGCTTTGGCATAAAGAATGAGCCAATGAACCTCTGTGTCCTGTGGAAAATGTATAAATGTTATCTGATATTGCTCTTAGATGTAATGCAAATTAATGTTAAATCACAAATAAACAGTATTTTAAATAGATGACTTTGGTATCATGAGCTTTCAATTCAGCGATGATTATTTAGCCTGAACTCTTTATGGGCTGTTGAAATGCTGCAGTGAGACTTTGAGTAACTAAAATTGATGTTCCTGAATAAGAGATGGCCTGGTAAATTTATTTTCAAGTTCGTTGAAAATTCTTTTCAGCTGATACTGGAGAAAATATTCCCCAGATAACCTGCTTTTTTGTTTTGACAGGGTTTGGTGACCTTAACTTTCTCTCTCTCTCTGATCTGAGGCTCTTTGAAAGACTCTGAGTTCTGATTCTCAGTTTCAATTTTGACTATTCATATCTATTTACATAGAATAGAAAATATTGCAGGATCTGTGCAGTTTATACACCACCCTTCTTTGATTTTTATTTATGTAACAGTGTAAAAATTAGTAGCAAAAGAATGGAAAATAAGTACAGTTCTACCACATTAACATCCAAAAAGAATTTTGTTCCCCCAAGATCTTGTTCAGTTATCTCTCCTATATATTATCTTGGTGTAAATAGAATTTTATTCCAGACATTTTTCTACTTAGTTAATCCATCTTTAGAAGACTTTCACCCTCACGTGAATGATTTCTTACGATTTTTTATTCCTACTTTGTCCTAAAAATAGAGTGCAAGAGGGGAAATCATGTTAATTGAGGGTTCTGGTTAATTGAAGTTTTTACTATAATTACCCATTATAAAAATGAAGGGTTAAGGCAGAGGAGAATAGATTCATAGTCTTGGTGATATTTAATTATTATGTGGGTTTGTGAATAACCCTGTGGTGGAAAAAAATTGCCGTTTTAGAAAGATGTTCATTTCAAACTTCTCTCCCATAAAGTAACAAAGATCGTTCTCCCCAGAGAATCGGCAGGCTGGGTGCTGTTGCAGGAGCCTTTCCTCTAAGGAGGATTTCCATTCAGCAGGGGATAAAGAGAAGTGTTGTCACATTGTGACAACAACTCCATGCTACAAGTTCTTAAGCTTTGCTTTTTATTTATTTACTTATTTTTACATAGGCAGAAAAGACATGTAAACTGATTATTTTGAGCTCAAGGGTGATATGTAGGCTCCCCAGTGGTGTCGGCCAAGCCAGAATTTTAAAAGAACAGTACTTTTTGTGGCCACTAGAGGGTGTCATATACCTGACAAACCAATGTGTGTCTCCTCCTTGCATTTAACTTCCCTTTTTTAAGTCACCATGTTTGCTGATCTTAGAAAACATTTCCTTTGCTGCTTATCTCCACTCTAGATGGTTCTTAACTCTGTTGTGTTAGCAGGTTCCATGTCACCAATACATATACCACCAGCAGGGATTCTCAGGCCTATGGAGAATGCACTGAAAATTACTGAGGTGTGGTCTCAGAAAGAAACCTAAGTAGAAAATGCCCACAGAGGTATTTCTGTGCCTGTGGGGGTCCTTCCCTCAAGAACTGGCTTCTTTTGACTGGCAAGATAGTTGATAGCATCTATCACCTTGTGATGATGCCAAGTGTTTAGCAATGATGATGCCGAGTGTTTTTCATGTATTACTTCATTTGGCTTTTCAAACCCCCAACAAAGTTGAGGGTTGTATCCCTAATTTTATAGAGATTATGGCTTGCAGACGATTAAAAGGAAGTGCTTGTATTTTCAAAATCAGATAAAAAACTGATTTCTAAAGTTGCTAGTGCCATCCTTACGTGAGACCTACGTGGCTGCCGTGTACACTTCTGTGGGGTGTTTGAGAGAGAAGCAGTTTTGTTACTTTGGATTGTGTGTGTCTACCCGTGGTGAATTCACATTTTGATAGGCAGATTCGGAATAAAACTAACATTTGTTTGGGAAGACTAATTTTTTTCTACAAATCACATGGATGCGTATCTGGAACGTGGAACTGCCTGTGATGATGGGGACAAGAGTATGGGAGGGCGAACCAGAGGTCTTGAGTCTCCATCACCAATCCTTGGAAGACAAGGTATCTCTGTCTTTAAGATGCAATAAAGACTTTAAAAGATAAAGAAAAAGCTTTACCTTTTTCTTTTATTCTTTCTCTTTTTGACTGACAATGTTGGGGCAGGCAGAGACATTTTAAAGAAAGTACTATCTTAAAAACCTGAAAAGACTGCTTTAATTTGGTGAGAGAAGTTTTAAAAATAAATAATGCATCTACATTCAACTTTATTTAAATGAGTGCATTTTGAAATACTACCTAAGAGGAAAAGCTAGTACATTCTAGAGATCAGGATAAGCTTTGAGGGGAATTTGCGATCCAAAAATTTGCAAAATCAGCTCAGTATTTTCAAAGGGCTCCTTCCTAGGAGGTGACCATTAGGGACAGTCATAGGTCTGAATTTAGTTAATTGAAAAAAACATCCTTCCAGGGATCTTTGAGCTTAGATTTAGAACTTCATTGTGATTATACACTGTTGATGCAGTTTAAAGTTGAGGAAAGTTTATATACACCAAATTACTTCATTTTTTTTCTTACAGCCTATTTATCTTGGTCTGACTTATGAAGAAGCAGTCCTCCAGAAAAGTGCTTGGCTAATACCAGACAGCTCACAGGCGGCAAAGCCAGGATTCAGGGAGAGAGCTTCACAGCCTGCATCTCATGCTTTTCTGTTATACCATAGCGCCCCCCCCCCCCGGAAGCCCATCAGATTGTAACCTATAAATGAATATACGATTTTCTGAAGTTTCTTGCAAGTGACATTTGGAAACATATTGGCAAGATCAAGCCTGTGTATTATCTATCAATAATTGTTTTTCCTAAAATTCAAGTCTGATAGATGCTTTGTGTAAGAGGTTTTTGTGTATTCTTTCAAGTTAATCAAGATATTGATCTTCTAAATCAAGCTCATAGGTAAGAGAACAGAGTAGTGGTTACCAGAGAGAAGGAAGGGTACAAGGTGGATGAAATAGGTGGTCAAAGGTATGAACTAAGAGCTATAAAACAAATGTCTGAGAGATATAACATCAAAGCATGATAGATATGTTAATAGAACTGTGTATTTGAAAGTTGCTAAGAGTAAATTTTGAAAGTCCTCACCAAGAAAAAAGTTTCTAACTATGATGATTGATGGTAACTAGATTTACAATGATCTCTTCACACTGTATACAAATATTTAATCATGTTTTATACTGGAAACTAGTAGAATATTATGTCTGTTATACCTCATTTTTTAAAAGATGCTAATTTCTACTGCTACAAACCTAAGTATTCTAAATATTATACATTAAATGACAAACTGATGATTTTTAAAAAACTGTTACATGTTTTATCTAGCAGGAAGCTAAGAGGTGGTTATGTATCCAGTCCACAATTGCTAAGGCCTATATAATTTCTGGTTGGGTAAACTTGATCCTGAGCAGTTATGAAGGTTATTGATTAAGCTAGCTTTTACTTCATTCCTACACAAAATATATTTGTCATTCTCCAGGGCTAGCCTGGACCTTGTTTATAATGGTTTAGAAAAAAAAAAAAATCACTATTGTCCTAGGTAATTCCTGTCCCTAGATAAAATGCTAGTTATTGCTAAACTCTGAACCTTCAAATTTATAGCAATTTAATAAATCTAATTTGGATATACTGAAGAATATTAAATTTCTAAGAAATCACTCAAAATTTTAAATGTGTTTTTTAAATGGCAAATAAGGGTCAAAGGGGAGTTAAGATTTTTCCTCATCGTCTACTTACGTTAAACTGCCCTTCAAAAACAAAACGCCCTTCAAAAACAAAAATAGGTGAGTCCCACAGAAAGAGCAACTTGGAATGTTAATTAATTGAAAATCTTTACACCAGGCCATGTCCTATCGAATTGATATTTTGACTTGGGACTTTTCTAGAAAAATCTTAGATTTCTTAAAGCAACTATACCCTAACAGACAGGGATGGAAACGAGGAAGTGGCATGGTTATAAAATGCAGGAACTACGGGGTAGACTGTTCTGTGGATTTCCCACCAGTATGCTGGACTTCAACGATCTTCTGAATTGACAATGAAGTTGGTAATGATAGTCGAGGCCAGAACAGCCCTCCTCATTGATTTGCCAGATGAGTGTCTGGCCTCACTTAAACCGAGGGCATTGTTTTTCCTTTATAAACATGATCCAAAACTATTTTTTTCCTCAACAGTAATAACTTCTGAAGATTCTACTGAGCAGGAGCTATGGAGGAAGTGGTTGCTGTGCTCTGTAACTCACGCTTTTCCTGTTGAGTAATGCTCCACGGGCTGGATTGCAGTGGTGACTGGTTTGATAGACTTTGACTTCAGAATAGGTGACCTCTCCTCAGTTTTATGAGAGAACATTTAGATACAGCCAACTTGTTGGCAGGCACTGGTATTCTCTTCCAAAGGTGTTTACTGGACTAACAAGTTAAGGTTAAACATTACTTCCTACCTGATTGCTATTATGGAAACACTGGCTTCATTTGTTTCAACTGAAATAAAAGTCATTTGAGACCATTGAGACAACCAAAAATGAATTCCAAATATTTTCTATGGTCTACGGTAAGGCAGAGGGGCAGGAGGAAAGGGTGAGGCTCCCACTGTACCCCATTGTTTGGATGCTTAAGCCTTTTAATGTGTCATGTGGTAATTGAAATGTTTCAAAAATAATTTCATACTTTTAAATTTCCAAGATTTTTTAAAGATGTCTTAATAGTTTTGCATGTCAGCACTGTATCTGTGAAACGACTTTGTAGCTAGGTCTAGTTATGTGTCTCCCATTTTGACCTTTAGGTTAATATTGAGCAAGAGTACGTGCATATATACTTGGTAAAGTCAAGCTGAGCGTGGCTCAATTAACTGCAGAGGAACAGGGAGGACTGGGTGGGGCAAGCTCTGGAATTCTACCCACTCACAGGAGCAAAGTCAGACATTGGGGAACAGCTTGAGCAGAAAGCTAGTAGGAAGCCCAGCCCAGCAGGTAAACCATGGAATCTGGAGGACATGGCAATCCACCAAAAGCACAATCTGGTAAAGTCTGCATCAGGGAAGTGTCAGTCCCAATCAGGAATC